TTTTTTTTTTTTTTTTTTTTTTTTTTTTTTTTTTTTTTTTTTTTTTTTTTGGGGTTTTTTTTTTTTTTTTTTTTTTTTTTTTTTTTTTTTTTTTTTTTTGTTTATTCCAAATTTGTTTCTTATTTGCAGAAAAACAAATTTTTTTGTAATGTTTTTTTTTTTTTGTTTTGTTTTTGTTTTTAGTTTGAACTCACCACACAGACAGATTAGGCAAGCGTGTGCGTGGTGAACTTGAGCTATCAACTTTGGCCTGGAACTGGCACCATGAAGACAACGAGATGAGGACGACAACGATGACGACAGGATCAACGGCAGTGTGTGAATTTGGTGTTTGCATTTGGTGGGTGCTTTTGTGCTGTAATCTGTTAGCTCTTATCTAAAAATTTGATCGTACCGAACACACAATGCGCAACATGAAATTGCAACCGAACCGGTCAGGGGCAATCGTTCAGATCATGTTTCATGTTGTATTAATTAACAAAAATCAATAATATTATGTAAATACGTTGTATACAAATAATATGGTAAGTCAATAACATATATAAGAATAGATATGCATATATGAATATTAATACGTAAGTGAACAGCGAGCACACGACGCCAACACATACCTGCTCTTTCTTCAGCTGTTTATCCTCTTTCTCACGGCGACGCACCTCGACGATATACTCATTGAACAGGCTCTCGCGTTCTCGCACCTTCTCTATTGCACGATATCGCTCCTCCTTGGCGTTCCGCTGACTAAACTCCGAAAACGAAGACCTATACAAGGTAGACGATGTGTTTTTTATTAGTATTGAAACGAATTTATATACGAATTTATTGACGTAGTACTTACTTGCCATGCAGCTTGGCTTCCTCCATTAGTTTACGGAAATCGTCTCGTTTCTGTCGCATCTTATTGCGCTTCTCCTTGCGCTCCTCCTCGGCCCGATCCTTCACATACTTTTCAAATACCTGTTTGCGTTCCTTCGATGTCAGCAGCAAATACCGCGGATCGAACACTATCTTGTGCAGCTCTTTCTCCCAGGTGCTGAATGCGGAAACATCCTTTTCGCGCAGCATCTCCTTGAACTGAGTGACACGCGTCTCCAGGGGCACCAATGCGCGCTCCTTAGCTGCACGCTGCTCAGCCTCGAGCACAGCATCCTCATTTTTTTTGGTCTTTGTAACTGCACATTTAAAGAAATTTAAATTATTTTTAATTTAAGGGATTTTTAAATATGTATATGTCGTTGTACTTACACGTCCGCACTCGTTTTGTAGGCACCTCCTCCACACTGGACTCCGATTCGGTGCGAATTTTGATAACCTCATCATCGTCATCATCATCCGGTTCTACGCGATGTACCTGTTGTTGCTGCTGTGTTTGCTGTTGTCCTAGACTCAGCTTCTCCAGAGCCGAAATATTCTCGGTAGGCTTCTTATCGGCTTCAGCTGATTTCTCTTCTGCAGATTTTAATTGCTCGGGTCGTTCATTTACCGCCTTGTCGACATCTTCGCGATTCATTAAGTCTTCGGGTCTATCCCAGACGGATGTGCGGGTCGATGGATTATAGAAGAAGACACGCGCATCGCCGGTCCAAACTACACACCATGGTGTGCCCGCAATGGGAGTACTGGTCACCGGGCGGGATTTGTCCGTTTGTTTTGCAGTTGCAGCCGCAGCGGCGAGCTTTTTTTGCTCTTCGTCTTTCTTACGTTTCTCTTCGGCCGCCTTCTTAGCCTCTTTCTCCAGCACTGCCGCTTGAGTAACTTTGCTATTTTCGCTATTCGCCTTCATGGCTGCTGCTGCGGCGGCAAATGCCATTTGCGGGTCAAATCCTGGGGCCGCACCCGGTGGCATATGCATTAACGGGTTGGGTAGCAAATGAGGCGGCATACCAGCCGGAGGTCCAACTGGAGTCTGCGGAGCTGCACCCGAATGAGCTGCCATGCGAGCCGCTTCCATATCCCTAAGCGCCTGAGGTTTCTCCCACACACTTTCGCCACGTGCTGCGTGATAATAGTAAGGTCGACCATCAGGCGCACGATGCTCAGACCACTCGGCTGCTCGTGCAATAACTGCCGGGTCAATGACTCCCGGCTTTATGATCAGATTTTTTGCAGGCTTGTCTTGCGACGCTGTGGGCGGTGCATGCTGTATATGCTGCTGCTGCCACGGCGGCATGCCCCAGGGTCCAGCTGGTGCAGCACCGGGGAAACCATATGCGGGCGGAGGCATACAAAACGGCGATGGCTGACCAAATCCAGGTGGCGGCTGCATGCCGGGTGGCTGCTGAAACATCGGTGGCGGTTGCTGTCTCACATTCGGAGGCGGCTGGCTAAGCAGCGGTGCCGCTGCATTCGGCGGTGGCTGGTTCAACAGATGCGGCGGTGGTTGAGAAGTTAAGTGTGGATGGCTAGGCACAGCAGCTGCACCAGTTGATATATCAGCATGATCCGTTAGACTCTTCTCGGGCTTGGCAACGGCATTTGATTGCCGTTTGGCCAGCTCCTCGACCTCAGTTTGGGTCATAATTTTTAGATTTAGACCTTCCGGTCGTGTCCACGTTGTCTCGCGAGTGACCGCATGATAATAATATGAGCGACCGTCGTCGGCTTTAGTTTCTACCCAAATTTCTGGCGCCTGGGCCACCCCATTGACACCCGATGATAATTGACTGTTAGCTATATGCGGTGCTGCTTGCTGCTGCTGCTGTTGTTGTTGCTGCTGCTGCTGCAGCAGTTGCTGTTGTTGCTGCATTTGCGTGTGCTCACCCATTGGACGGCCGCTGAATGCATTGAATGGCTTGCTCCTATTATAATTCAAAATGATACACAATTATAACGAGGCAATACTAAATAGATGCTTAATGATAAACACTTGCCATTGCACTTCACTGGCGTTTGCTTTTTCATTAGCAATTGCCACCCCGTTTAAGCCGTCTTGACTACCAATACCGCCGCCAGCAGGTTTCCCATTTATGGCTGGAGATGTTTGTAATTGGGAGTCTTGCGGACTTAGACTAGCTCTATCTGCATCCATGCTTTCATCCAAACTGGCTTCCATTGCACAATTGTCACACACTAAAGTTTATTCAATTAGCATCTACAAGAGTAAAGAAAATTTTTTCCACAAACTTTTTTTTTTGCCGCTATCGATAGGTATAGACAGTATTTCTATTGTTGTCATCGATTATGGATGGCATCGATTTCAAACAAAATATGTTGTTGCCCCTAAAATACTGAAAATACTATATTGCGAAAACTGCTTAATACCATTAACCAGTGTTAATACGATATACATACATAACCGAACATTTTGAAATAAACTGAAAGGATGCTATGCTTTTATTGTTAAGGCTTTTATGCCAATGTTCCAACTCATGGAAGGAATATAATTTATTAGTGTTCTGCACAAACTTTTCGCTATTGAAACTATTGACTTGTAATTTCAGATTTCAGATTTTAGTCTCGCAAATTTGATAGTATCTATATAAGCATATAACATTAATATATGTAAGATATGAATACTCATTCACATCCCATCAGCAATTTAGCTGCTAAGTTTAGCTCTAATAATGTAGAAAATTCAGTGTTCCCAGCTTTCTATCTCTTCAACTAACACTAACGGAAAATTCATTTTCCGGACGAACAAGACGGACATTGAACAAAACCAATATACTAATTCACTTTCGTAAATGAGTATAAAAATTCAATGAGTATCAAGCGAAATGTTAAAGGCTAGAAATAGTTTCAAGCCTAACGAATTTGTAAGTATTTTATTTGTCATATATATACATACATACTTCTGATTGGATGTCCTGTTCTAATTCGAATTTAGTTAATCAAATATTGAAAAGTAATGTAAATACATACATACATATGCATTTATAGCTCTACAGAACCGACATATTCTCGTAAACAATAGTGAAACGAATCAATAAATTACAAATTAAGCTTAAAATCGAAATTTCATAGATAATATGCAATTGCAAATAGAAAAAAGCTGATTCAGATATCAACGAAATGAGATCAAATGGTAAAATGTCTTTGTCCAGTGCAATTGTGTGTTTGTGCTGCATAATTTTGACAGTGCAAGCTGCCAAAAAGAATTACTGTAAGCCAGATCTGTGCCATGGCGTTGCACATGTGGCGTGCTTGAACGAATCGCTAGTGAGTAACTGCTTATTGAATGTCATGTATCTAATACTTGCAATTTGATTTGATATTGTATGATCGCAGCGACTTTACAAAGATGAATGTAATTCAAATGCTGAAGTTATTAAACTAAGAAAACGCGATAAGAATCATATTTTAGAATCTATAAACAAGCTTCGCAATTATGTGGCGCAGGGTAACTTAAAAGGTTTTAACACCGCTAGCAATATGTCGAGCGTCAATTGGGATGCCGAACTAGCATATATTGCAGAAATGAATGTTCGCGTATGCGCACATCACCGTGATGCCTGTCGCAATACGGACAAACATAAAAATGTTGGACAGACCACGGCTTATGGAGGAGTCAAGGGTAAAACCCGTACCCCGAGGCGATTCATCAGAGGACATATTAAAGCTTGGTTTTCACAGTGGAAATTGGCGACGATGAAAGACATTCTTAGTTATAATAGTAAAGAAGAGTAAGACACTTAAGATGCTTAAATGCCATTCGCAATTGATATTGAAATGTTATTTGTTTCAGTGCTCCACCGCATAACTTTTTGCAAATCGTGCATGACAAAGTGCAAAAAATTGGTTGCGCCTGTCTGAAACAGTCCAAGAATGGATGGATTCAAAACTTTTTCACCTGTAATTATGATGAGGCGCCCATTAAAGGGCAGGAAGTTTACAAAACTGGGATCCCAGGAGCACAATGCGTTTCCGGCAAAAATCACAACTTTACATCTCTTTGTGGTGAGGTTGATTTAGGTGATGTAGATAGGGATCAGCCCGAGCCCAACAATCAGACCCAGACAACACAGGTTGACCATCAAAATAAGCCTGACAATCAGACCGAGGCACCACAGGTTGACCCTCAAAATAAGCCTGACAATCAGACCCGAATACTAAGTCGAACCATTGCGGCAACAAATGCTATTATAGGGACAATTGAAATAAGACCTAGCATGACATCACTGGAAGACCTTCAACTAAATCGCACAATTGAAAGAGGCATAGAAAAAGAAGCCAAAGAACGGCGGGAAAGGTTTCACAGATTTTTGGCCGAGATTGAAAAAACTGAGAGAAAAACCAACAATCGGAAAATTCAGATCTTCACCTGGAACCATCAAGTGGACATTTCCATCAAACCGGAGGACGAATAATGCATGAGGCAAAGAAGAGTCACAGTTGCAAATAGTCCTTAGCTAAATAAATTGTATATTATACAATAAAGAATTATTATTATCATATCGATGTCTATGTGGAATAGCAATACGTCATAAATTTTTCCTTATAATGGTTTTTTAGTCTTTGTTGTAAGAAGTTTAGAGCCCCTATTTATTATTGTTAACTGTGGTTTTTTGTAATTAGAGCCAACGCAACACTAAAAGATCTCCTTTTGCATTTTCTTCCATATTGTATTGACGCGTAATCGTCCCTCTCGCAAATGTTTGAGCAATGCATCCACTGACAAATCGTCTGTAGATTTTTGGTCCATATTCGACTTGCAAAGCTTTGCATGACGCTCGAAACGCCAAAGTGTTTTGAACGTCTTATTACAATATTTACAAACGCGTTCTTCATCCTGTTCGCTAATGCGGTGATTAGGTTCAGGACTTTCGCGCTGCTGGACTGTTCTTGGCGGTATCGTCCATTTGGGCTCCGGCTTAATAAGCAATTGGGTTTTGTTCTTTCGATGCAGTTCGTCCTGGTGATTGTATCGTATGTGATTGTACATCTTGGACATGCTTGTCTTGGTCCGATCACATAGGCTGCACTTCAAATACGAACGATATGGTAAGTGCTTAAAACAATGCTTTTGCAGGTGAGAGCGCTTGGTAGTTGGCATAACCTCGTGACATTGTAGGCAAATACTTTGTCGATCTTTGATCTTAAAGCTATTCTCAATAAAATGCTCAAAGTTATGCTTTTTAAAGACGTGAGAACGCCAGTCATCCATTGATTCAATTTCCTTGCCACACTTGGGACACAAATACGAGATAAGCTTGGCAAGTCCATTGGTAGGGACATCTACGTCTCCTTCCGGCTCGGGAGTTTGTGATAAACGTCGACGTTTGAACGGTGGTGTTCTTTCTGGATCTGTATCTGGTTCTGGCTTCATTTTCTTCTTTAGCTTGTCCACTTCATCCTCGCCAAGTGCATCTATTTCAATGATCACTACTTCCTTATTTTGCTGTGGATGTACATCAGTTGTCTTTGCCGCACTGGCAGTGTTCTCCAGTCGTTCCTCGAAAAATTCTTGACACAGTGCATCCAAATCTGCGTCGCATTCGCCATCCTTTTGCTTTTCCTTACGCACAATGTCATCGTAGGCATTTAGACAACGATCTAACGCCTGTTCACTGTCATTAGGTTTGGCTTTTCCTGTAGATACTGCTGAAGATGTTGATGTATCCTGATCTTCACCCTGCAAATCAATGTCCATTAGCGCCTTTTGCAATAAATCATTCCGTTTGCGCGGCTGCTTTGTAGTTTTACTCGTTGATGAATTCTTATCATCCTGGTTTCGCTTTGATTGCCTTAACTTCGCCTCGTATTTCTCAATCTCCTTCAAATGTGTAGACAATAGGTGTTCGTTCAATGCGCGACGCCGTGTGTAAGCCAGGCGACAGTGCACGCATCGGTATGTTTCTCGATGATCCAAATGCATAAAGTAATGATACTGCAACAGAGCAATTGTTTTATGGGCATTTTCCACCCACTTGAAACAAAGCTGGCATTCGTGGAAATTATCGTCGATTTGAATAAAATTAAAATCCGAATACGTCTTCTTGAGGTATTCGTGTTTCTGTTTAAGAGAATACACAATATAATAATAATGCTTTAATTTTTGCTGGTCAAACCATACCGTGTTTAAATGCTGTCGCCATTCAGCTTGTGTTCGGAACGCCTTCCCACACTCTGGGCATATATAGACCATGTGGGCTTCCAGGCGAGCATTTAGTTTGCTTTGCTCTTCAGTTAGTACGCTGTTTCTTGACATTTTAAGTTTGAGTCCAAACAAGCCTACAATAAATATATCAATTAAATAGAGATGAAACTATCGCATATAACACAAACGTTATATTGTGAACATACAAATCATCGATATTTTTATGTGCTCAAGGAATCATATACGATATTGTAAAACAAAAATATCATTCAGTCGCTACTTGTGCTTCTATTTAAGGAGTAATAAAATATAGAATTTTAATTTCTGTTTTCCCAATTTAAACATGTCGAGTGCTGGAAAATCTACAGTAAGTAGAGCGTTTATAAATTTTTCAGAATGCAGCCAATATTATCCGAATTCCAGCCAAGCACCAATAGTGCAGGTACCACGTCCGCAAGTGCAGTAGCGACCAATGCGGCATCAGGCAGCGGAACTGTGCAGGAGTTTAAGATTCGCGTACCAAAGATGCGCAAGAAGCATCATGTTATGCGTTTCAATGCTACATTGAATGTTGATTTCGCACAGTGGCGAAACGTTAAGTTGGAGCGCGAGAACAACATGAAAGAGTTTCGGGGCATCGACGAAGAGCAACCAAAATTCGGCGCTGGCTCGGAGTACAATCGAGACCAGCGTGAGGAAGCGCGTCGCAAGAAATTCGGCATTATTGCTCGTAAATATAGACCAGAGGCTCAGCCGTGGATTCTTAAAGTTGGCGGAAAAACGGGAAAAAAATTTAAGGGTATTCGTGAAGGTGGAGTTGGTGAAAATGCAGCCTTTTATGTATTTACACACGCTCCCGATGGCGCAATTGAAGCCTATCCTCTCAATGAATGGTACAACTTCCAGCCCATACAGCGCTACAAGTCGCTCTCTGCGGAGGAGGCCGAACAAGAGTTTGGACGTCGCAAAAAAGTGATGAATTATTTCTCTCTTATGTTGCGCAAGCGCTTACGAGGCGACGAAGAGGAGGAGCAAGATCCTGAAGAAGTCAAATTGTTGAAGGCAGCCACCAAAAAGTCAAAGGAGCTAAAAATAACCGATATGGACGAATGGATTGATTCAGAGGATGAGTCCGATTCTGAAGATGAGGAGGAGAAAAAGAAGAAAGAGCAGGAAGATAGCGACGATGGCAGTGGAAAGAAGGGAAAGGGCAAAAAAGGTTTGGATAAAAAGAAGAAGAAACGCGATGTGGATGATGAGGCCTTTGAAGAGTCCGATGATGGAGACGAAGAGGGACGCGAAATGGACTATGATACAAGTTCCAGTGAAGAGTAAGTTTTTTTAAAACATTTTTGTATAGCTTTCTATAATTAAATTTTTTATAGTGAACCTGATCCAGAGTCCAAGCTTGTAAAGGACATGAAAGGCGTGGCCGAAGAAGATGCACTCCGCAAGTTGCTCACTTCCGATGAGGAGGAAGACGAGGAAAAGAAATCAGATGAGTCAGATAAAGAGGAGGGTGATGAGAAAAAGAAAAAAGACAGACCCAAAGATGAAATGACCAAGGATAAAAAGAAAAAAAAACAATCAAAAGATGAAAAGAAATCAAAATCCACTGGCAGCGACTCATCATCCGACCTCAGCTCCGACAGCACAGATTCCGAAGACGACCTCAGCAATGGACCTCTGAAAAAGAAACCATCATCGAACAAAGATAAAGATAAAGACAAGGATAAGGATAAGGAAATGGCTCTCAAGGCAATCGCCAGTGGCAGTAATGCAAATAAATCTCGTTCGGCAACGCCTACGCAACTGAACGACCCCAACAAACGCAAAATAAACAGCCTGCCTAGCGATCTCACCGGATCGGACACCAGTAACAGTCCTAGCAGCACCCCAGCAAAACGTCCCAAAAATGAGTTGACTAACTCTTTACCTTCGTCATTTGCTGGCGTAGTTAACAACAAAGTGGAGTTAGTATATAATGTTGGGAAGTAAATAAGATTTGTTTTGCTAACCTTCGATTTATTTTTGCAGAGATTATGGTATTACTGAGGAAGCTGTTCGTCGATATCTTAAGCGTAAGCCATTGACAGCTACTGAGCTGTTAACTAAATTCAAGAACAAGAAAACGGGCGTCTCCAGCGATCGCTTGGTCGAGACCATGACCAAGATTCTAAAGAAAATCAATCCTGTCAAACATACCATTCAGGGGAAAATGTATCTATGGATAAAATAATTTTTCCATGTATCTCCATATTGAAATAATAATTTTTCATTGTCATGTTTGAAAACGGGCCTATTAAATATTCATTAAAAAATTTGTGTATACTCTAGAATTTCATTTAATCACTAAATGCTTAAAACATAAACAAAAATATGAGCCGTTTAAGGCTCAATATCAGATGTAGCAGGTCGTAGTTCTTTTTTGTCATTAAATGTTATTTGTTAAAGTTTCTTGATACGTCCATTAATCATTTAAATTCATCAAGCAAAGATTATTTAAATTGTCCTTTTGGTTTTTAAAATTAAATTTGTTCGTAAAGGAACCAAGGAAATATTAGTTTGGTTGTTTGGGAAGCCCATATAAATAAAAAGTATCGATGCATCGATAGTCAGTTCAAAGAAAATATCGATACTACAATGGTCACATTGGCCAGTCTGAGACCTGCGCTGAGTTCTAAACCACAATACTTCTTAAATAATCAAAGTTAAGGGCATGTAAAATGTGTAATCAGCTAAATTGCAAGAGTCCCCGTCCCATTTGTTAATTTCAGCAACCAGTGGTGCGTGTGTCGTGTAGTAAAATCCGAATTAACTGCAACGCAATTGCAATGGCGACGAGAAGTCCGAAGAAAAACGAATGGCAATGAGCGAGTGCTAAAAAAAAACAAGAGAGAAAAAACAGTATAACGGACCAGCAAACAGTAGCTGCCAAGTTCAATAGAATTATTAAAATAAACAATACATTAAAGTGAGTACCAACAATGCAAATTGTATCGATTGGTAAACTAAAGCACCACCAGCTGCTTAGATAAATGAATTCGCATACACACATCCAACACAAACATTCACGCACACACGCCCATTCGCTTGGAGTCGTCTAATAACAAATACGCAGTTCAAATCAAGCTTGTTTATAAACCAATTAAAATTTGCTTTTTCAAATATAAGTTAGTATTTCTGCGCTGTCCTGCTCTTATCACCTGTTGGAGCGCACATTGTATTTGTCTCTATTTACTGTTGTAAAAACCTTGACGCTAGAGTTATGCGTGTGTAAAGTTCAAGGCAGAAAGTATATGTATAACTAGGTGGGTGGTGCTAAAACCAACCTGCGCGTACCTCCTAGCGCTCTCGCGGAGTTGTGTGTGTGCATCAAAGTCATTTTCATTTCTATTCGGATATACGTATGTACATATAAGCAGATTAATGCAGAATTTTAAAAGGAATAAAACGGCGACAATGTATACTATATATACATGTACATATACATAAATAAATAACTCGACTCATCCGGGCAAGCAACTTCAATTCGAAACTAAAAGGTGGCCGCTTTTGCGTACACACACTCACGCTCACACATTTGTCAGATGGCTTTGTGTTTCTTTATTTATTTATATTAGAATTATATTTCTCTTTTTGTGGATGCAATAAAAAAAAAAAACAAAGTCACGTCCCCATTAATGTCATAATTGTATTGGTTTGTCGTATTGAGCACGATGTGTTAATTACATATGACGTTCTTTATTTAATAATGCATTTAATACAAAAATTAGTGGCATTTTTACTCTAAACTTACTTGTGTGCCAAAAATATTGTCGTATCGGACAATAGCTCTTGTCTGTTTGCCACGTTCCGTACCATAGGCGAAAACTGCACTTATACTATTCAAATTTTCTACGAATGATATCGTCTGGGTGTGCGATGATTCAATCCGTTTAATTTTACCGGCCAATATTTGCTATGCATTTCATTTGAGCTCTGACTTTTGTAGACATTATTGAAACTTGTAACAATATATCAATTGATATAAATTAAACTCAATCAGAACAACCAACGTTCGATTCCAAGTGGGATTCATTGCATTAAAGTTTAATTGTTACATAAGGCGCTGTTCCAATTAAATATTGAATTCGAAACTATCGGTAAAATATGCCAGCACTAACGTTCAGTCACAAACATCGAACAGCTGATTGTGTTGACGGGACCAAAGAAAAGAATCACAAAAAAAGAAAAAAAAAATGCCACAAACACAGGCATGCATCACACATTTATATTCAAATACACATACAATGTACATATTGAAAACCGTTTATCTTATCAGCAGGCAATGGCGGTGCTCTGGCCGACACCGTTTGTTTGAATATTGAGTTGTGCTTGTTTTTAATGGATTTTCATTAATGCACTTGTTTTGCAGGCCCCCAAAAACACACGCTCAATCACACATCCGCACAGATGAGACATGCTAGTAGTGCAAATGATAATAATCATAAACAGCAGCAGCGGACGCAGCAACACACTAAAACAATAGTAGTGAAACAACAGTTGAACGATTGCGAGCAACAACAGTTTTTCAACTCGAGCGCAATTTGTACTAAACAGCAGCAAGAGCAGCAACAGCAGCAGAAGCTGCAGTAGCATCAGCGGTCGCACCGGCATACACATCAGCATGGCGAGGAATCATTGCCTCTCATTGGAGCTTGCATTGCTCGGGCTTTGTTTAATATGTCATCAAGCGGTCATTGATGCCCATGTTCTCGTTTACAGACGCACTACCTCACAGGCAAGTTTGACTGTATTGCTGTTTAATTTGTACTAATAACAACCTTGTTTCCATGCAGCTGATTGAGGAGTTCAACGATTTGCCAGCATCATTCGGACCCCCTATTGTGGACAATAATCTTCGGGTATTTGTGGTGCCACATGATCCCAGCGATCCGTATGGTTGTAATAATTTCAGCTGTCCACCGCGCTCCTCCTATCCAAAGAACGCCAAGTTTGTGGCGATCATCTCGCGGTAAGCATACTTGAACTCGTAAGCAGTTAAACCTATAAATATACCATTATCTTTGTCTGCTTATGCAGCGGAGGTAACTGCACATTTGAACGCAAGGTGCGCGTAGCTCAGGAGAGATCGTATTCCGCTGTAGTCATCTACAACAATGAAGGCGATGAACTGGGTATGACAAATTATATGAATAACACTCATGATTCTTTGATGAGTAAATTTGAGCATCAGGCATTTCTTGAAATATTCTTCTTAAGTGCTTAACAAAATTTTACAATTTTTTGTTGGCTAATCTAATTTTAGAACAAATGACCGCCAACAACAAATCAGGCATAAATATACCCTCCGTTTTTGTGGGCATTACGACCGGCAAAACACTATTGTCTTTCTTCACACCAGAAGTGGTGCTGATTATCAACGATGAGCTGCCCTTTAATATCAACACACAACTGATATTGCCTTTTTCCATACTGATTGCATTATGTTTTCTTATTTTGGTATGTAATTAACTTAATGTTAAATGAGGTTTTGCTTAAATCCATTTTATTATTTATATATAGATTGTTTACATGATATATAAATGCATACAGGAGCAGCGCCGTTTGCGTCGAAATAGGCTACCCAAGAGGACGCTTAATAAGATACCAGTGCTGCGATATGCAAAGAATGATGCCTCCATTAAGTACGAGACCTGCGTTATTTGTCTGGAAGACTTTGTTGAGGACGACAAGCTTCGCGTGCTGCCCTGCTCACATCGTAAGTGACTCCAACCAACAGCAGGCTGCAAAACATAATTATTATTATATTATATTATTTTAGCTTATCACACCCACTGTATTGATCCTTGGCTAACTCAGAACCGTCGCGTCTGCCCCATATGTAAACGGAAGGTTTTTCCGAAGGGTGGATACGTGAGAGCACGTGCGAGTCGGAATCCACGGCCTTCCTTAGATAGCATCACCGACACTGATGATGATACCACACCGTTGTTGCAGGCGCAACCTCAGTCAGTATCTGCTGCAGGTTCGGCGGGCAGTGGCAGTAACAGCGCCAGCATCAATTCTGCACCATTAGCAGAAAACACCACAAGACATGGGACATTTAGACGTGGCGATGCAGCACGTACTCTCAACGCAGAACAGGAGAATCAAAGCTCTGACGATGAGAATCGTATGTATTGTATATTTGTATTTTCGGATTAGAAGCTGAAAACTGAAATCTATATATTCTACTATTTATGAGCTAAGTTAACAAAGTGAATTGATATTATTTTATTCTCTGTTTAAAAGAGATATATTTTATTATTTGCAATATGTCATAACGGAATCTCAGTGATTTTACAAGTACTTATTTAGTAATCTCAAATTATCAGTAATTCTGCAAATCTTTGTATTAATATGTATATTTATTTGTATAAGCTCTTAGAACTCGAAGCATTTGATTTATTTAATGATCATATCAAATTAATTCATTAATATTTTGTTATCTGTCTCGCACTTTGTGAATATCCAACACAGCGCTACTGCATTCCACAGGGGCTCAGGCTAGTACATCATCATCTGTTCAACGACGCGTCAATCCCTTCGATCGGGCAATAAATTTGCCAGCACATTTGGCAAATCAGCTGAATCAGCCAAGGCCCTCACTTTGGTCGCGTATTAACTTTAGGTAAGTTTTTCTACAGTTTATTATCAGCCGAATAAAAACTTGTATACCCTGTTTGCAGCTCCCTATTTCGCCGCGAGTCCACAGGTATTAGTGTTGCAGCGCCAGCTTATCTCGATCATGTTGAGGCCGGTACAAGTGAGGCAGCTATTCGAGATACAACAGAGACAGCCCAAATTACCGTTATCTCCAATCCTACATCGAACAACATACTAAATCCGAATTTAAGCGGCTCTTTCAAAGATGATGACGATATGCCACCGCATCGTTCAATTTACGAACCTATCGCAATTAGTGCGCCCACAACAGAGCAAGGTGTCTCTACTGGTGCGGCCGGCGTTGCCGACTCGGAATTTCTACAGACGCCCACCCAGGGTGGCATTGGCGTTGCCGCGCTACCACATAGCGGCACAGATCGCCAATTTCTAATATGAGTAGAGGCGAACAAGAAAGTATAGTAATTTTCTAGGACATAGTTCACACCAAGCAGGCAATACGACTAAAAGAAATCCCATTATTGGGAGTAGTACAGTAAAAGTCACTTGTAAGCGGCAAAGTTGTGGCTGCCAACTGCTTTGTTTTAAACAATTAACAAATGTTTACCCTCAATACACATACTATGTAATTGTAATTGTATTTGTAATCATCATTGTCATGAATCATGGATCATGGATGATTATGGTTTGCATCGCAGAACACATTACATTCACACATACAAACACATATACAACAAACAAACATAAATATGCGTATACAAATTGTGATTTATTTTATATACCTTATATATTATTAACATTATTGGCTTGTATAACTAAAGTCGAAACACAAAAAAACTAAAATGAAAAAGAAAATACCATTTACCTTCGTATAAGATTGAAATTGTTTACCTGATTCTGATTACGTATTTAAATTTTGTTTGTTTTTAACCACTCAACACTCCAAGAAACAAAAAATAATCAAACATGTGTAATTAAACTTATTAATAGCCACTAGTTTTAATGTGCACGTGAAAGTTGTTTTCAGGCCAGGAACTCAAAGCTTTCATCAATCAAAAGCAATCGATTCATTGACTTTGTATGATGTTACCGTATATTCAACTAATTCTAAGTTTTCCTTTGTAATATATATTCAAGTTCTCCAAATTCGATCTTTTATTATTAAAATGGCCATACGAATTATAGATCTGTATTACGAATAATAAAAAGAAAAAAGTGTTTAGAACTACGTACTTTGTAGAAATGAAAGTTTCGAAATCATAAGCTTTAAGGTAAGTGCTAGTTTGTGATTATTTTCGTAAAAATGATAAATTTAAAAGAATCAAGATTAACTGATGAAAACTGTTCACAACTATGAATATAAATATTGTAAAACGGAATCAATTAAATATAAAGACACTATAACAATTATGTTTCAACGTGTAATCTAAAGTTAATTTACAATAAACTAAACGTAAATGAATAAATTGGTATCGTTTGTAGATTTTAATTTGAAAGCTTATTAGAAAAATGCTTGCATAGGTAAATAACAATGGGGGGGCTTGATTAAGAGTTATATATTTTATATATAGCCAACTATTGTAATTGTATTTCAATTACCAATTCAGCTTTAATGAAAAGTCATCGAATTATTATAAGAAATAATACCCTGTCTACCAGAGCAAGCAACAATTAAAAAAAGTATTTACAATTTGACTTTTGCTTTATATTAGGGACTTTTTGTTTATATATTCTAGTCGCTGCCTGAAAGTATGCAACAATCATGTGAACAGACAAAATCTGAATGCTATGTAGAACACGCATCCAACGATTGTTGTGGATAGATTGAACATAATTCGGTTGGGTCTATTCCCTTAAATAGGAAGGCTGTGAGGCAAGCGCTTATCCAACATCTACAATAATCAATGTGTAAATTCAAGGCCTAAACTATGTAACTTTAATAATTAGTCTTAAGAATATTTCCCATTATTAACGAGTTTTTTTTTAATAGGATCTAAGAAAAGCTCGCCAGAATATGCCTATTAATGACGCTAACAACTAAAGACTTCGGCAGGTGTTTCAATCTGTGTTAATTATAATTTTCACCTGGGAACTACAGCAGCTGTTTGAAAGAGCAAGTATACTTGAACGTTATTATTTCTCTATATTTATCCTCTTTGGTAAGTGTATTTAATAGGCATGTGGGAAGTTCTGTTGAATTATAAAGTCCACGTAAATAATTGAGCGAAATATGGTGGGCATGGACTGTTAAATTTATATATAAAAGCAATGAAAGTAAAAAAATACAAATAAATTGGTTTTGTACAAATACAAATGGATTTAATATATACGATAACTATAAACAGAGCTCATATATATATAGTAGTTAGATATACATATTTATTTATAGTATTGAGTAATGCACATAATCTTGTCAGCATTGCAGCTATTAGACTAAACCATTAGCAGAGTTTTTAAATCGAATTTCGCTAAGTGTATACATTTATGATTTACTTATGTGTTTTATGAATGTGTAGATGTGTGCGATATAGTTTTCTTTTTGTTTGTACAACTCGTATGCAATAATGCATGTGTATACACATATATTCATATGTATATATATATGCATATATATAGATATGAATATGTATATGTGATTCGTTAATGTGATGCGTGTGTGTTGTCTTGACACTAATTAAATTTTAAACTATTACGTTTTGTGTATTTATAAGTTATATACAAAATATGTACTTTTTAACTTAATACTATCAATATTACGAAACTACTAGTCGAACATGGAGTCATCACCGCCGTCTCATTTCACCACCAGCGACTGTTTGAGATACCGCACAAGGCCTGAGCCTATATCCTGCACATCCGGCCATTGGCGTATCACAAAGATTATAAAGCAAATCGTTAAAAATGTGGTCAGCACGCGAAGCCTATAAATACAAAACAATTCATAAATTACAAACAGCTCATTATATATACACATATGCGCATATATACACTATACCTCGTTTTGAGAAAGGGCATTATAATGCCAGCAGCGGTTGCCACCAACAGAAGCACCACTTGCAATATTGTTAAGACCACATTGATGAGTTTCACAACCAGGGCGCGAGCGTTTGAATTGTCAATGCCCTCGACGGTGACATATTGCTGCTGAGACATATGCTCCATTTTCGATATCTATTGGCGATGGATGACATTTTATTGTTTAACATATTTCAAGCACTTTGGCCAAAGCCAACTAACAACTTACCCTTGTTTGACAATTCTCGAGCACTTCGTTGACGTCACGTAGTCTTTCATCGCTTTGGTATTGTACTTTCTCTTCCATGTCAGCAATTGTTTGTTTCAGATTCTCGATTTCATTCTGCAAAAGGAGGCATATTAATCGATATTGTTTCAAGAATTTTTAATTAAACAATCAATGAAACGCACCTGATGCAATTCCGTCAGGTCATTGATTTGCTCCTCCAGTCCCTCAGCACGGAAGCGTTCACTTTCGAGAGTGGCTGTCAAATTGTTAAACTCCTTTTGGCTAGTCTGAAATTCGATAGATTTGTTAGTTAGGATTCAATTGGATATATTTGTATATTCTAATATATTACTACTAACCTCAAGTCGCTCGACTCGCTCTTTAAGCTTCTCGATCTCCGCTTTGCGCTCGGACAGTTCAGTGAGTAGGGACTTGAGCACAATGTGGTACTGGCTGGCGCCCGACTGACTCTTGCCAGATCTGTACTCATATAATGATTTATATAGTAACGATGCAGTTTGAGTTGGCCACAACCATTGCACTTACCCCGCTGGTATGCTTTCGCTGGTTACGCTGCTGCACTCACTGCCGTTGTCGCTGTTGAATTTGCCGGTGCCGCTGCCAGTGCCCGCGTTGTTGTTGTTCACGTTGTTGCCACCACCGGAGCCCGTGGAGGTGCCAGGGCCGGGTTGATGCAGCAATCGCTCATTGGCCGCTGTCAGGGCGTCCGCATTTGCCGCTTGAATGGCTTGAAGCTCAGCGTCAGCAATCTGATTTATATTGTCCGCGCTGCCGAATTTGTTCTTAATGAGATGCGCGAATTCGCGCGGCTTCGACATCACCGAACCGGAGAAACCCGTAATGCCGTCCCGTATATTGCCGCCCACATTACGTAGTCCCTGGCCGACGTCGCGTAACACCTCGCGCGGTTGCCGGTGCTGGCTCTTGGTTTGAAATTGATGATTCTGCAGATCCTTGGCTCGCTTGGTATAATTGTCCAGTTTCTTTTGCAGCTGCGATATGCTGTGTGCGCTTTTCTGGTTCTTCTTCTCGAACACCGCCTGCAATCGGACAACGTCTATAGAATTCGCCGCAAACATTGAATTTCTTTCTTGATTTTTACCTTAATGCGTTGCAATTGCTGTTTATCGGCGCTGGCTGCTAGTTTCAGATACTCGTTCACATTATCTACAAGGATAAATATTAAGGATTTTAGATATATTTGATTAAATTTACAGAAAAAATGCATAGAATTTTATGTTCCCAGGGTTGCCTTATATATTAAATATATTATATTATATTTGTCTATCTAAATTATGGATATTAAATGTAATCAATTGAAATCTCCATTTCCACCCCCAATAAGTATGCTATCAAATTAAAGTTCCCAGACATATACCATTGTGAAAGGAATTGTACTCACCATCCCGAGCTGTTTGCTCCTGCCTGATGGATTCCTTGGTGCACTGTATTTTCGTATTCAGACGATCTATGGCCTGCACGCTGGAGCTGCGCTCATGGCGTCGATGGTGCAGCTTCTTGCTGCTATCAAACTCATCCGATGCCATAGAAGCGTAGTAGTCCTCGTTGCCGGACAGACGCGAGTCCTCTAGGCCACTGCCGGTGCCGGCGCTGCCACCGCCGCCGCCGTGGCTGAGACTGACGCCAAAGTCTGTCATATCGCCTACCATGCCGCTGTAGGCCAGGAGACCGCCTTGGTCGGAGCCATGTGTGCGTCGCTGGCGCTCACGGCTGTGTCGCCGGTGTGTGGGGCTGTGGCTGCGAAAACCGCGCACTGCCACGCCCCCGCTGCTACCCAGGCTGCCGGTCACCGTGTTGCCGCCGCTGTAGACAGCCGCCTGTGCAGCTGCCACTGTGCTGGACGAGGCCGACGAATTGCTGTTGGCTGCCGTCGGTGTGGCCAACGCTCCCGCTGCCGCTGCCGCTGCTGCTGCTGCCGCTGATGGCGTCGTCGTCGTCGTCGCTGTTGCAATCGCGACCGTTGGTGTTGTGGCTGCTGTTCCCGACGACGCTGCTGTCGCTGAGTCGCTGGTGCGCTCCCTGGACACTGTCGAGTTGTTGCGCATAGAAAGTCAGTATGGTACGTATATATGTATGTAGCTTATGGCTTTGGCTCTACTCAAACTTCAATTGTCGAATGGATGAAGGCGAGGCACAGGTGCAGTCGCAGCAAACGATAACATCAAACACAGTGATAAAGCAATAATAACAAAAACCAAGTCTCAAAATACCACAAAGAAAAGAAATGTTCAATTTGCTGCTGTTGTTCTTCTTGTTGTTGCTGTTATTGTTGTTGCGGCTGCGCTTGTAAGCGTATGTGTGCATATGTGTATGTTAATGACAGCCTTACAGACAGCTGTGCGTCAAAAGAGACAGTGAGAGAAAGCACGAGAGACAGAGCGAGAGAGAGAGAGAAAGAGAGAGAGATAGAGAAAGACGAACAGTTAAAAAGCAGCAGCAGAAAGTGTTAGCGATTTAATGGCGTTTAAAATCGCGTCTGCGTTGCTGTGAATAGAAAAATGTTGAAAATGCGAGAAATGTGTGAGTGAATGCGTATATGTATATGAATGAATGTATGTATGTATGTATGTAAATATGTAGTTATGAATGTATGTATGTTTGTGTTTGGTGTTGTGGTACTACAGTTATGTAAGTAATAATAGAAAATACTATGCAACGGAAAAAGTAGTTTTAATTTGATTTAAATCTTGAGAAACAAACTGATGTTATTATTTCCATCATATTGGAAATGTAGGAAAATTCAATTTAAAGAATTTTATTTTAAATTTATATATTTGAACAAGAAACTATTTTCCTAGCCTTTAAATTTATTAAATTATTAAATTTTATCGACAATTTTTCATGTTTTTAAATAATCTATAATCAAAGAATTCAAGATTTAAGTTAGGCTGGCTGTGATAAATGTGTATGTATTACAGTAATATGCAATATTTTACCATATTTTCTATTATTTTTCACATACTGTAAGACATATATGTAAGTATGAGTGCTGCTTGAAATATTTTATGCTATTTTTATACCTTTTTGTATTTATATATATAAATATAAATATGTATATATATATAAATATATACGTGTGTGGGTCTACGTTTGTATGTATATAAGTGCGGTCAACGGTTACAAAGCTGTTCAAAGACACAAAAGAAATAAAATAGAAACGAGAACAAAAGGATAATCAACACACACAAGTCAAATGCAATACAAATAGCGATAAGCAAGAACACAAAAGTCACATAGAATAAATATATTTTCAGCAGCCATAATCAAAATAAGCAAATACACATTTATATATGTGTATATATGTATGTACTATAGATGTGCATATAAACTACACAGAGAGCTAATGAAACGCTTAACAGCACACAGCACATATTTGCACTTGTGAGCCTTTAAGCCCTTTGTGTGCCATTAGTGGGCCACAAAATCTCCCTAAAGTATTATAAAGCAAGAAACGGACGAAATCAGTAAATAAAGATGAGTCTGATTCAAAGCAGCTTAAGACAATCTCTAATCTTCTCGAAATTCAATTTCCTAAAGAAATTCGTATTTGAATCCAGTTACATAACATGTTTTTCTGACAAAAGTTTTTAGTATACCATAAGGTATATATTGATTAGAGTTTACAAATGTGAAATTCTTTTTTAAAAAAATTTCCCTTAATTTCTTAAATTGTTTTTTAAGAAGGTATTCTCAAAAATTTTTATTTTTTGCTCACTCAATTTCCATGATTGTAAAAGCTGCTTTGAACAGTTTTTAGATATAGAATAAATTTAGGAATATCAAATATGATCAGATAAATTTACAAAAATCAAATTTGAACAGCCGCGAAAATTTACTAGCTACATTTATAAAATTATTTTATATAATTCGAAATTCGTCTAAGAGCATGCTATTTGCGAACTCATTTTTAATTTAATGAAGCGTAGTCAATCTTTAAAGGTTTATTGGCTTCTGCCTAGCGACAAATCTCTCAACATGATTATCAGCAACGGAAGTGCTAAGTGAATAAGCTACAGAGATTCGCTATCACTCAGAGCAGCATGGCATCCAGACCGAGCTCTAGCCGTATGCTGATAACACTGTTGATGAGCGTGTCGCATAAAACCAATTATGGGCCAAGTGATTAAGCTATTACGGCTAGAGCACGACTAACAGGAGTGAGCTTTTGGTGTCTGCTTGCCAAAAGATTAGGCTGCTTATAATTATAATTCGAATTACTTTGCTCACTGCTTCTGGTGGTCGAGGGCGAACGGCTGGCCCGCAAATTCGAACTGGAGCCGCGAGACGAGCGCAACGGTTGCAACGGCTGCAGCATTAAATGATCCCGACTCACTGGTGGCAACGAATCCATATTTGCATATTGCTTGCCAAAGATCTCAACAAGTTGCCTTCAGTGGCCTGCAAATACACAAACGGAAAGCAATATAATACGATTATTATTGTGATTATTATTAAATATTGTCATTGAATAAGAGATTGCGCCCAATGCTAGCGCACACAAACAATCGCGAGGCACAAGGCGCGAGAGTCCAAAGTCAAAAGGTGAATCAACTTCGGCTGCTGATAATCTCACACACTCACAATCGCTGAAAACTGGACCAAATACTCGACCACTTGCCAATTTCATATACGAGAGGGCATTTCATAATATTTCATAGTGAAATAATTCAAGAAAAGTTTTCAAATTCTTCACATATTTGGTCGTGTTCTCAGCGCTTGTCGGCTGATTGAAAACACATGTCAAGGGTATTGCGAGGGTGGTTAATATTGTTTATTGGAATTGTATAAATCTATTGTTTATTGAATAGAAATGCTGATTTGATTTGTTTGTTAAAGAATATGAAGTCTAAATTAAATAATATAAATAAAATAAAAATAAAAAATAAAATTGAAGGGAAAATATAATATTAAATAATATATGGTTCATTTATATATTAACTTTTTTATAGCTTTATAGCTTTACTTTATGTTTAAAATAACGCTTTAAAAATATTTGCTATAGATTTATATATTTTTTGCAATTTATTTTGCTTTTTTATTTTAATCTCTACAAAATGAATAAATGAAACTGATAAAGACTGAATAATCAATTCCATTCAAATGCCATTAATAGTTTGATTCAACCCACTGTAGTGTGGTACAGCGAGACCTTTGTACTGTATACATATCAAATATATAGCATATTATAGATTTTGTTTATAAAGAGACTGAGTAATGTAGCTCGATCAATACCAAATACCGATTGGCTGACGTTAGGTGACGGTCGACGTTCGATGTTCTATAAATACAATCGATACTGCCGGCCCACAGTGCAAGTGTACCCATGCACCTGATAAGGATGGGTATTGGGCTCTCCAGAGTGTGACACCATATCTATATGTGCTTGCTCTCGACCTCAGGCGAGACGCATTTAGATCGAGACGGGAATACACAACTCAAGTGCCGTGCATTGTATTCCGATGACAGCGCTGCGATGATGGCATACAAAGATAACAATTGTTTATAATTCACTATAAATATTTATATAGCAACGTTCCAGCTATTTCCCTTTCATTCCTTCTTTTCCTGTCTCTATATAAAACAGATTATATATACATACATTCCGATGCATGTGCTACGGTTCTCAAAATTAAAAAGCTTCGTATATTTTATGGGCTGGGTAGCGGGGCCCACTCCACTTCCACCTTCCATAACAGGGTGCTCAATTTTCATTTTAAATGAAGCTGAAAATGTGGTTTTTGCAAAGCTAGAACAACCTTTCCAAGTGCTCCAAGGTTGAAGCTTTATTAATAATTTAGAATTTGTTCTGACTGTGTGCAACAAAAGTGTGTTTTAAGCTCGCTAACCATATTTACTTTTCGGAGCTAATACTGGGCAAACTAATAACTAATCAAATATTTAACTGCACAAGTGGCGTTTAATTAATACAAATTCAATATATTCCCTCTCTGTTTTTATCGTTTAGTTGTTACAGGTTCATTAACTAGTTCAATCCCTCTTGACATCCGACTTGCACGATAGCTAACAAAGGACATTATTTATTGCCAATTATAAAAATATAAATTCTTAAAATCCCTCTTGAGTAATTGTGGTGTTATATACTGATACGCTGGACTGCGTCGTAGATGTGATTAACATCGGATTGCTTTTATCTTTATTATTATGTTATCATAATAACCCGAATTCTTGGGCTTCTGAGCCGACCATGACTTTTAATATAGAAAATGATCTAATTCATGATGGGATAATCTTGCACTCATATGAAGACTAATATAAAACTCTGACGTATGCATACTCATAGCTAAGTCTATTCCATGTGAGTGGTTTAATAACTTAACTAATCTGCATATACACTTTATAAATTACCTAATGTCAGTTTTCTCTATACTTTTCCAATTAGCAAATAGCTTTTATAATGAAGCACAAAAATTTCAGTATAATTAAAATAAATATAAACAACTAAAACGTAATTGAAGATATGTATAAACAAATGTTAGTAAAGAAAGCAGCACCTGTTATATATGTATATCTCTCTTTATATACATACATACATATATATGCATTTAAAGCTTAATTTCTTGGAAATCATTTCCACAATGCTTCAATGACTTTTGGGTTAATTTCCCATTTTCATAAAGCGCTTGGACTCAACACAAATTTCTTCGACTGCGCTTTCAACCCAAATGCTCATCTGCACTTCAGTGCGTTCCAGCTGCAGGAGAAACTCTTTCCGCCTGCCTTCCAGCCTATTGAGCCAACTCTCTCGGTTGCCACATTTTATCATGTTTCTTGTTGCAGTTGTTGTTGTTGTTGTTGTGTGAACCCCTCGATTCACCTGTGGCTGCTTGAAAATGATAATCATCGCATTTTGTAACAATTTTTTATTATTATTATTTTTTTGTAGCTGCTTTATTACTTTACACCTCTCACCCCAGTTGCTTTCTTCGTAATTGTTTTTTTTTTTCTTTTTTTTTTTAAAGAAGCAATAAACAAATCAATTAAGGAAATAAATGTTTGACTATATATAC